AACAGCGAAGCCTGGGCGTCTCGAATGTCTGTCTTCCTAACGATGCGCCTTGCTCCAGCACTCGCATTCCGGAGCCTTGAGAAGTGATGGCTCGCATCCTGAGCTTCTGCTCTCGCATCTCCCGCACATGCTGCCTTGCCAAGTCCACCACTCAAACGGCCGGCCGTGACATCAAAGTGTCAAGGCGACTCAAGTACCACCAGAAGACTACCACGCCTGGCATGAGGCTTATTGCGGTCGCAGGTCCTATGACGAGTGAGACGTAGACGCAGGCACTAGCCCCGCACTTCTCTTCCAGCCGCTTCGACCTCGTCGACTTCTTTGGGAGCGCTGACAGGCTCGGTAGATTCGTCGAGCCTTACCTGCTCCTGGGCCAAATCTGAGCACTTCCACTTCCACTGCGAAGGAGAAGACTGGCCTTGCCCTCTCCTCCATCGTCTATCTGCAATGGACGGCCTTTCCTCACATGGCAGACGGCCCGTTCTGTCTCTCTGTGTCCCCTTCGCTGGGATATCCCGCTCTTCCAAAGCGCACTCATTCACGCAGGGACACCCGTCACGCTAGCGATATGGATAGCTGACCGCTCTAGGATCTTGTAGGGCTCAACAGCAAGCCGCACCTGTCCAGCAGGACTCATGACTACCTCTTCCATTGCAGTGCACAGATGAGCCTGCTGCTTTGGGTCAGGCTGAAGCTCAAATACGGATAAGGGCTCGCAGAACATCGTCTGCCCAGTCCTGGCTTCCACATTGGCACTGCCGCTGCCACTGGAGAAGACCGGAGCATATCCCCAGAACTCAGTGTTGTTCTTCTACGAGTGCTGGAAATCGCAAGACTACGAGCCACGAGGCACTTACGATACCCTCACCACTTTAGTATCAGCACCGAGACGGCCACAAGCATGAACGTTCGCGCAATTTGGAACAGAGGACCACAGCACCACCTGTCCTCCTCGGTCCGCCACTACCATAATATGCGAGACGTGCGGCACTGGCGAGTAGCAGGTTAGTGTGCCGCATCTCCGCATGCTGACCGCTAGTCCCGCAATACCTTGCAAGGCCAACGAGAACGAAAGGATGCCGTCTCGAGAGATGACTTTACGGTCATACAAGACCGCACATGGACTCAACGAGCCGCAAAGCTCAAGACAAGACAAGAGAGCTCGACCTTGTTGTCCTCTCCTCCTCACAGTCTGCACTCTCAATATTGCTTTGGCCAAGAAGAAGCGATTCCACAAGCGAGAAGGTGGGAAAGGCAGCGAAGGGGAGAGCAAGGACAATGAGGCGTCCACAATGAGGGTGAGATGCAGACACAATGGCGAACACTTGCGCTCTGACCCGGACTCGAGGCTCTGAATCCAGGCCAGGGGCATGAGCATGGATTCGGACGCGGACGCGGACTCGGCCTCGTATCGAGAGCTCATGCCCGTGGCGGATGCATGTATTCGCTGGGCTAAGCGTCCAAGTAGACCGATGAGCTGACACTAGGACTGACTCTCAGCCTCACACTGAATCTACGGCGAAGAGGAAGGGAGATGGGATGGCAACACCATCTCCAGCTCGCCCACGAGGAAGGTTCAGACGCGACACTCACGCACCCGACAACGCAGCGTCCGGATCCTCTTTCACACAGACCTACGTTGGCACTGGTCGTTGCTACACCAACGAACCCAGTGACAAAGAAGCGCTAGCAAGGAAGCAAGGGCAGAGCTCCTCGTCCGTCTCACTGCCGCTGCTGTCATCCTCCAACCTGGACCTTTCAGTTCGACTTCGATGTCTGTACATTGCTAAGGTCAGCTGAGCCGAACCTCAAGCAGCAGGTGCCCTGCAGGCCTCAACAGACAAAGCCCAGCGAGGCTGGAGTAGACACAGCCGCACGTCGCGTCACGTCACATTTGGGGCTCGGATGCCGGAGGTGCAAGACGACAGGATGAGCTGTGAGCGACTCAGAACGGAAGAGAGGGGTGGCGATGAGGCTGAGATTCAAGGTCAATGGAGGTCGCGTGGTAGCCTCCTGTCCTGCCACATCGTTTCATTCCAGATCAAGTCATGTGAAGTCGCATGTATTGTGCTCTAGTACACTGAGCGAGACGCACGTCGAGCTCGAGACAGAGCCGGGCCTCTTCATGGCTGAACGGAACAAAGTGAAGGCAGGCCTGTTGATAATCTGCTTGTGAGAATGTGCGTGTGAACGAGTACTTGAAGCAGACAAGCACGAAAGGGCCGGATCGTAGCCCGCTCACGTCATCGCTAGACTCCATTCCGGCCTCATATAAGCAGCTCATCGAGCATACACGCACACCAATCGATACGGAATCAGCGCCGCTTTCCGGATGGCGGCTCATTCTTGCTCCTGCTCGTGTGCTTCTCCTAGATCCAAATCCCAATTCGTCTTGTGCATGTGCGAGTCAGGGCACGAGTGCAAATGCTGTTGTTTGATTGCGCCTTTCTCACCCTTGACTTGGTAGACGTGAGGTCAAAGACGAGGAGGTACGACCGCCTGGTGCCCGCAAAATCGACCCCGAGTCCAGCCACACCTGGCTTGGGAGAGAAGGCTGTCTGCGCATGAAGCTGGTGTCTTGCTTGCCACTGGTTTCTGCGTTGCGAAGCAAAGGGCCGCCGTACGTCCAGGCGTATTCTTGCAGAAGCGCCAGCATCGCCTTGCATGCGCAGCGCAGTCTTCCGGAAACTGAGCATTGAGCTGCTGGGCCTTGAGTGGTATCGAGCTTCAGATCGAGGCACAATGCGCTACCCTTGCCTGTTCTGAAACAGACTGAGGCTGGACCTCGACTGGTGTCCGCTGGCTGCTGATGCAGTAGGCACCGAGCGTGCGCTCATGGCTTTGCTCACTTGGTGCCACATCTCTCAGTGTCTACGCACAGCGTGAGTCAGCGTCAGCACGTAAGAGCGAGGCAGGAAGCTTGCAGTCGATATCGCCCCATGCTGCAGCAGATGACTCTGTCAGATGAGCCAGAAGTGACTGTTAGACCAGCCAGAGGCCAATCGCCTGCGCTACCGAGCGACCACCAGATTATTGGCTCGCCGTCGGCTTTTCCAGAATATGGAGCAAATGGAGCCTGGCGTGGCACCAAGCCTTTCCAAATCGTTGTAGGATGCCATGCAACGTGCTGCAGAGCGTTGAACAGACTTGAACTCTCTCGGCACTCTGCCGTATTCCTGATGCACTTCTGCTCAATGCAACCGTGCTATTCAGCCCTGTGCTCTACATGCGGGACCCGGCGTCTCTTTGCATGGCGAGCGTCATCGGCTCGACAAGAGGGCTTGCTAATTGTGCACGCTCTTCTTCCTTCTCGCCAGAGCCAAAGCTACTTGTTCGACCTGATGAATAGCCGGCAACACTGCAGTGGCTCTCTGCTGACCTACATTGCTTAAGACCTTCGTGGTCTGGGCCAGGGCCGCTGAAGCCGTGGCGGCTGATGTTGCACTTGACGACATTGGCGTCGATGACTGTGCAGTCCCAGCAGGACACGCAGCTAGTCTTGTTGCAGTGGCAGCAGGGTTCGTAGCCACGAGTTCCGCTGCTGGTCGCGGAGAGGGGGACAGAGAGACACTTGGCGAAGTGAGTGGTGCTGATGGGTGCGTAGAGCTGACGCTTGTAGCAGGAGACCTCAGTGATGCCTCAACTTCAGAGCAGCGCGAGGATGAGCTCGAGGCGAGAGACGCCTGAGGATCTGCTTTTTCGAGATGCAAGATCTTTGTGCCGGAGACGTCCGCGTGGTGCCGAGCAGATGAGAGGCTCTTCGGACAAGGAGATTGTAGACGAGGTGTGACTCTCAGGCTCAGCGGGTGCCTCATCATCATCGGTCATCTCGGATGGCTCCTCCGTCTGGTCTGCCAGGCGGGACAGCCTCGAAGCTGCTGCAGGAGACTGCCTGTCAAATTCCATACCTGAAGACGCCTGGCCTTCGATACATCTTCTCCGCAAACGACGCAGGCACTTGGTCCCAATGTTCGAACGTGTGTCTGTACCATGTTTTCCTGCATGTACGCACTCTGTTTTCGGCTGACGATGGGAGCGACATCTTCAGCATAGGCGTGTACAGGATTGAGGTTCTGCAGGCGTGGTGATAGCTTGTAGAAGATACACTTGCTTGTGGCTCTGGCGGCAGCGAAGCCGTTGTGGAGAAACCAGGGACAGCTGGGGCCATCCTATATGGCTGTGTAGCCGACAACGGGATGGCAGTAGCTGGGTCCCTGCCTTTCACTAACCATCTATTGCGGATGCTTTCGATGAACCGAAGCTGGCGGACGAGCGAAGCGGCCGCGGCAGGCAAGAGAGGGTGTAGTTGGTTCTGGGGGTGAAAGGGCTTGATTGGTGTTGCGAGGTTAGGGTCAGAGTTGCAAGAACTGAGTGAGTGCTACGCTAAATCCACTGCCCTTACGTGGAGAGCACCGCGCACACCATGATCCCGGCGGAGCATACGAAAGGCATACGATAGATACCCGCCTTCATTCGAAGGAATCACGGCGCGCCCGAAAGTCGCTTGGCGGGGCTGCGTGCCATGGGCACAGGTGCGCCTGCTGACTCGCCGAGCTCAATGGCACGCACCTATCTCGTCACGTGCCACAGAGGCGTGGCCTACGCTCCAGCACTCTGTACAGGATATCGACTGTACCTCGGCGCCTGCTACAGTATGGAGTGGAAGAGATGCTTCATCAGAAGCCCACGTCTATGCGCAGAACACATCGTCGGCTGCTTCGGGCTGGGCGCAGCGATGCACGTGTGCGCTTCGCCCACTCCCGCCATCAAATCATATCCAGCCGTAATCAGCGCCGGAATCGACGCGGAGAGATTTTTTGCACTTGCTGTCTACCTCTTCTGTCCATGGATACCATGATTCTTCTCTCGTATTAGGCTCAACAAGCTACGCACTCCCATCCACTGACCAAGTCATGGTGATTCACCCGGCCCTGGCCGCACACGCCTCCGGTTGCACCCCCATACCCTTCCGGCGTGGTCGAGACGCTGCCCTGAACGCGACGTAGAAGCATCTACGAGCGTTCACCATCTCATCCTGGAGATCCACGGACCACCACTCCCATCAAGACCAGGTCTCATATTGACTACATTCGTACTCCTGTCATCAATCACCTCAGCTCATGACGAGCTTCTCACCCGTCCATGATGGCGTCATCATCATTCCCTGAGCCCAGAGGTGAGTCGTAAGGCAATCGCGGCAGCGACCAATTAGCCATGTACTGACCCTCACACGTGTTCCTTCTTTGACCCCTCCTCCCTTCGCTCCCCGCTCGCCTGAAACCTCCTCACCGACTCCGAGAGCGCTCAGCCTCAGCCTCGAAGCCTATCAGCCTCTTCAAAGAAGTCATCACCAGCAACTGGCTCAAACGAGGACGCGCTCTCACCTCTCCTCCAGCGGCTCCTGCTCACTTTCAGTCTGAGACTGGAAGTTCCATTCGCCCTCTCGCGACTCTCACAGATGGACAGAGACAGGACGATAGGAGCAGCGCAGTTGCAGCTCCGAAGCGAAGACATCCCTGGGCTAATGAAGAACCGGGTCTACTCGCTCCCACAGAGGACACGGAGACGATCCACCCTTACGTCTCTCTGACGTACTTCTCCCAATGCGTCGAATCCGAGGACCTGCTAGCTCAAGATCAAGAAGAGGCCAACGAACAACTGCAGAGCTTACATTGTCGTCTAGGCGCAGCTTTTGCCGCCTTGACATCAACAAACTCCTCTCCAACGATGTTCCACAGGGGCTGCTGCCGTAGGGAGTACCCTTCTGCTCACTGGCTGGATGAGGACTCGTCCCTCGATAAGCACCTGGACGATCTCATCACTCTCAAAAGCTCCACCTACCCACCTAGCGAGCTCCCATGCTTGAAGATACCCTCTCCCATCTGGCAATCCTCCATCGCCACACCAACCCACGCTCAGGCTCACGCTCAACCTCAGAGCAAGACGAGCTGCACGCTATGCCACTGCCAATGCATCGCCTGCGACTGGGAAGAGTAAGACCACTGTCCCTTTTTGCGCGGCGACGCCCAAGAATGTCCTCCACTGCAACAAAAGGAACAGCAGCAGCTTGGAGTACCACTGGGGATTCAGGAAGAAGAAGACGAAGAAGAAGAGGAGGAAAAGGAAGAGAGAGAGGAAGAGGGAGAAAGGGTCGAGTATGTTTATACTGAAGGGAGAGCCTTCTGAGAGAAAGGGAAGCTGCTTCGGAGTGGGAGACAGGAGGTCCCAGTGCTCGATTTGAAATATTGATGAGTATGATGTGCTATGCTTCGAGCACGTCTTAGGGTGATGGCTGACAACGGAGACTCCTCGGCCGCAGCGATTCACTGAGAAAGAATTGACCCGCACTGTACCCTGTCTCAGCTTGACCGCCGAGGCAGAGTCTGGCCCTCAACTCGTTTCGTCAAGACGAGGAAGATCAAAATGCAGTACCGATCGACCCTCTCCACAAGGACCACCCCAGATATAGTCTGCCTCCCTCCCTTAGTTACTCGGTCTCTCTTTCTGGCGACCACCCGGTCCACTCTCGCCCTTCCTACCGACCGACCGACGGACAAGTCTCCGTATCCCACTTTCGCTGACCACTGTACAGTGCAGTGCTGGCCTTTCTCGCACAACCAACCCCCATCATCAGGCCGCGCTCATGCTCACGCTCCCGCTCACACTGAGCTTCATGCACACGCTGCGCTGCAGACATGAGACATGACATACAAGACAAGACGAGCGAGGAGCGGGGAAAGGACCGAGAAGGATGGGTCTCATTGCTGACTTGGTCTGCTGTTTGTACGGGACAGTACGATGCAAGAGAGGAGCAAGGAGTAGCAGTGCGGATGGGGTCGGAGAGAGGAGGGAGGGGGGAGATACCGTACGGTAGGGTAGGGCTGCGCTGTCTTGCGGGCCAGCGAGGAGGTGTGGAGGTCAACTGAGGAGGAACACTGCTGCGTCCGATCTTGTCTCACGGTATGTAAGCGATGGCGATGGCGATGATATTATCAGAACGGTACGTACAGTGACATGTGAACTTGTAAGGTGCGAGGCGTGCTGAGCAACAGATCATACAGTACAGTACAGCATAGGCTGGCGGGTTTGAGGCAAGAACGCATTGCATTGCAATCCAACTAGCAGTACCACACGTGTCCTGCGTCTTGCGTCTTGCGTCTTATGCCATGTGATCTAATATGAAGCGGCGTGTTCAGATAGACGGGCGAAGCTGACCGCGAAGTGCTAAGCTACTGTACTTTGCTGTCGCAAGATGGGAAAGGGACAGGCAAATAGACAGGCCAGCCAAACAGCCGTGGTCCGAGATGAGGTCGTCGGCGACGATGAGCTAGCTGCTGCGGAGGTGCTCTTTGGCTGAGCGCCGGCGAGGTACAGTGCATCCTGTCAGTGTCGTAAGAGTAGCTCTGCGTACGACGCTCTTGCCGCCTTGCACTGCAGTGCAATAGCGCGATGCAACAGTTGCTCGCATCGGTCTGTCGGCCAGTACTGCAGTATCGTTCATCCTCTCCGTGGCACGAGGTTCAGTGCCTTGGAGCGGTGAGGAGCCTTTGTTGCGGCCGCTTGAATGGCAGCTCCGCTCACCCCTTGAGGTCGCAGCTGCGCCGACTCCGCTCCTGCCCTATGGCATCAGGGGGCTAAAGACCCACATTGTTGACGTCGAGCCTTATTTCCTTTGTGCGCTCAGCTGCAGGTGTTGCCTGGTCCGCTGGAGTGTAGTCTGCAGGGAGCCAGTGGTGGCTACTGGCCTGTTCAGTACTTGCTTTGCAGTTCAACCTGCTGTACATGAAGCTCATGTCGAGCCCGTCTCATGTCATTCTTCTCTTGCTGTCTCTGACGAGCAGAAGCCTCGAAAGAGTCATACTGGCCTGATCTTCGTTCAAAGGCCGGGCTTCTTCGCTGCTCTTGTCTGTCTCTGTCTTGCTGGGAGCTGGTTTCATCGGAATTGTCGTCCTCGTTCTGGTTGACGGGTGCTTGTTGCTGTTGACGCTGCGGCGTAGTGGCTTAATTTTGGGCTGACACCCTCCTCCTGGGCGTCGTGAAAGGAGTTTTGTAGGCATTGGGCCAACGATTCGATCCAGGAGCTCCGTGTCGATCTCCTGCAGGACTGATGGTCCTGCAGGGGTGGTGGTGGTGGTGGCGGGGGTCTGCCTCTTGCGTTTGGTCGGGGTAGGCTGGCCTTGGGAATCTGTACGCTGGAGAGTGACCAGCAGCTCTCCTTGAGGCCCAATCCGATAAGAGTCCGGCAGCTCCAAGTTGTACTTTGCGAAGAATGCTCTCCAGCCTTCCTTCAAAGTGGCCTTACACCACTTGCAATGATCGGTCTGGATTGCAATCCACTGGCCACCGTTGTTATCTTTCGCCTCTTGCTCTAGGGCCTTGTAGAGCTCTTGCATGACATGGTCGGTGTAGCCTGGCACTGTATGGAGAGCGTGAGTGAGTGAGTGGTGGCCAATCTGCCGTTCTTGGACTCCGACGTGCTTCAGTGACCAGACAGCTGTGCCGAGTGTTCCTGGAAAGACCAGAAGCATGATACTTTGATGATCTCAGCTTGATCGGCGGTGTTGCGAGTATCGTATGCTTGGGAGCAGCCGTGACTGGCTGGATGACGTACCAGAGCCGTATCTGGTGCTGGTGAGCGCCGCACGTCTGGCAGCTTCGACATTGCTGCCATTGCTTGAACTTATGGACGTCCTTGAGATGGGGAAGGTGGCGTCCATGGATCTTCGATGCGATCGCTTGAGAGCACGGTCTCTAGGGTCACTAGCACTGCTCGATCCTGGGCCGGCACAGTGTGATAGATAGAGAGTGATTGCGGTTCGGTGCATGGCAAAGGACGTCGGGTCAGTCAAGATGCACCTGGCAGTTGACATGACAGTGAGCTTTTTTTATCCACTTACCCTGTCGATTGACATTGCATCGTGCACTACGTGTGAAGCAGGCAGCACAAGCATGATCATGCGGGGACAGAGCGTGGCGAGATGTATGCGACGTTGACAGCGTGGCCAAGATAGCACTGCGTCAGTTCGAAGGGGCCAAGCATTCCTGACAATAGAGCCCAGCGATCGGGCAATCCGGGTCCTCTCAAAGGCCTTAATGACGGCAGAGAGTTTGAGCCTGGTCGGATGTGCCACAAGCTCCTGTGAGATAGATTCAGGGTGTGGAATCGGTGTTTCCCTCGAAACCGGGAATATCATCGTACTTATGCCGTGCTGTAGCCTACGCCCCCTTGTTAGAGCTTACTGTTTTTGTGCCTCTTCGTGGGTGGAGCGTCAGCGGCGTGACGACTGGGAGTCTTCTGCTCCTGGAGTGATACGGTCACTCGTCCAGGATGTGCTGGTGTTGAGGCTCCTCAAGCATGGGGATAGGATTGACACGGATCCCATGCGAGGTAGAACTGACGTGGACGTGGGTATGAGATGACAGCCAAGAGCTTGGTGGTGATCTCCCGGGCAGCGCGATCCTGTCCTGATCGGCAGAAGTGCTAGCCTCGAAATGGTACCGTACGCGTTCATATCTGTCCATCAGGTCGACGAAGGAGTCCTCTGGGAGCGTTGCTGCTGCGATCTTGAGAGGCGCCGGTATCTTTGGTGTGGAATCGCGATTGATTGGACTGCGCAAGGTCCTGCCTGCACTGGTGCTAGAGGCAGCGGTTGTTGGGTAGTTGGTAGAGTACCCGATTCACTAGTCCTTCGGATTGTACGTGGGAGGCCTGCCGGTCGTGAGCAGCCATTCTCGGCGTGAGGTACAATGTGGACCCGCTCAGCATGCGGCACAATGTGGACTCGGTCAGCCTGTGTCGTCTCCGTGACCCAGAGACGACCCTTCCACGTCGTTGATTGCTACCAAACGTCTTGAAGTCGCTCGCTCCGTCTGTCGCAGATTAACGAGGTCTCTTTGCGCTGCTTTTGCAGATTGCCGAGAAGTGACCTGTACACCAAGCTGCTAATCCTCAGCACTAGTCGCCTTCGAAGCAGAGGTAAGCCTTTGATCAATTGAGCATCGATTCTTTACTGTAGCTTTCTGAGCAGGGGCAAGAGCTGTCAACGACTCGTCAGAGGCAGACGGCATAGATGTGACGGTCTCAAAATACTCACTGCTTCGCAAGACTCTGACACCATCTGTCGTCTGCTCATTGTGTCTCCATGCATCTTCGCCGCCTTTGTTGTTCCTGATGAGTGGATGCGAGCAGAGAAGAAGCAAGCCCGGTGTTGCTGCTCTCTTTGACGGCACTGGCAGGTCTGTGTGAGCCCAGAATGTATGCCAGAAGGCGAAAGGGAGCAAGAGGTGCGGGAGATTGGACGACGGAGTAGGTGTATGTTCGCGAGCCTGAGTTCAGTCGACGTCGCCGCTGTTGGTGTTCTCAGCAGCTCTGCCCTTCTTCTTGCCAAGGATGGGTCCTTTCTCCAAAGATGTCAGGGAACTTCCTAGCCTTTTACAGAATGCCTTCCAGTCGCTCATCTTGTGGCATGGCATTCAGGACCAATAGTCGGTCGGTACGGGCAGCCAGGTATCCGTTGTGCTGCTTCGCCATGGCTGCCTAGACAGCTTTGAAGATGTCATGCCCGTAATTCGGCCCTGCGAGGGAGAACATCAGTGATGGGTCAGTGTCGCCGTCGCAGCGCGCATCAGTACCTTACCCTTGCTGAGCACTCACTTTGATCATTTGCGTTGCACTTGGTCAACGGAGTATTGAACGCAGCGCAGCTCTTGGCACGTCCAGTCATCTACACCCAGCCTCGTACCCAAGCAATGAGCGAGAGTCAGACAGCTGGACAATCGTCTGCGAGCTGTATAACATCATATGCTCACGTCCGGCATAGAGAGGATCGGACGATGCTTGATCCATCTCAAGATCGAGTGTCGTAGGAGGTTTGATCGCCGCAAGGCATCCGCTCAATGTCTCCCGCGAGCGGTGTGACGCACACGCCTTGACAAAGCTCGAGCAGCTCGATCGCGTTCGGCCATGTCGGTGTACTGTATGCTTCGAGGGGCGAAGCGCTCCCTCCGCGCCCATCTGCACTCTCAGAGCTGAGGCCGATGCCCACTGTTTGTGATACTGTGATGCCCAGGCCAATAGAGTAGGAGCATTATGTTGACTGGCAGGAGGCAGGAGGGATATCAAGCTTGTCGATGACTGAGCTCCCACTTTGGATGTGGTCATGTTGAAGCGGACTCTGACTTACTGATACGGTATGTGAAGCGATTGTTGAGTTTGGGTGAAGTGGAGGGGAGATGAGTGATTGAGGCTGAGCAGAGTGATGGGTGAGGAGCGACGGTGGGAAAAGCCTTGCTTGTTAGCTCGCTTTTATAGGCAGAAGAGGGGAGGAGTACGCCGCTGCGCATAGCACCTCAGCAGGTTACTTTCGTCACATTCCCATCGGACTGAAGGCGATTCAGGTACCAGGTACCAAGTCGCACGACCCTTGAGGTCATGGGAATGTGCTCGCGAGAGCAAATATGACTCGGATGAACGGATGGCCATGCCTCTCCGGAGCGCTCAGCAAGTCGTCCGTCCATTGATCACCGAGGATCGCAGTGCATGCCGACCGTCACAGCAAATGGAGTTGTGCTGAGCGCTCGGCTCCGAGCGCTCATCTCTTCACCTCATCTCCTCCCGTCGCCTGTACCTTTGCTCTCGCTCCTTACCAATTCATACGACTACATTCAGCACAGGAGTGTGGCCGCAAGCTGTGATGCGGGCCGAGGACTCTGCGGCTTCCTCGATCAGCCAATGAGTGCTTCGCCAGGATCCGGTAACGATCGAATTCTCGACCCTTGTCACTGTGCCCGAGCACGACGTCATGAGCGGCCTCGCCGCTGAAAAGCGTGCGAGGTTTGCTGCAGCCTAGGGAGGAATGCAACATCACAGGCCGCTTGGGTGTGATGACTTAGGCGTTTGCGAGGCACCAGAAGTGGCAACATCACTCCTCCACTATAGACTCGAAGGTATCTGTTTGCTCAAGATAAAGTGCACCAGCTGGGCAATCAGGGGCTCGGTAAGGATAGGCATGGCGAGGATGACAAGCGAGCGTATTGTGGAGAGGGGCTTGGTCCCTGTGCGTCGGTCTCGGAAGCGAGGCTGCGAGATGCATGCGAGCGGAGCTCGGATCGGAACGGGGCTCTCAATCGGAAAAGACGCCGAAGCGCTGCGTCAAAGGGCCGGGCCTGTCAGTGGTTCCACCGTGGCGCCAGGCGCGCATGCGCCTGGTGGAAGTTTCTAGTTCCTCTGCTCCTGTGCCTGATTCCTACATATGATCCTTAAAGGAGTGGCCTAGCCTCCTCCTCTCTTACACACTCAATATCAGTCTTCACACCGAGATCTTTACACTGTCTGAAAGGTCTGCTTTGGGGCTTTCCAGTACTACCCTCAGATACGGCACAGAGCCGTTATCCATAGAGTTATAACAGATCCAAAAGGGTGACTTGGAGGGTCCCTAAGTGAGACCTCAGGCGCGCACGCACAGGCGCCACCAACAGGGCCGCCTTGATCTTTCTGGACCCCACACTGGTCCTCGATAGTGCAAGGTTGTGACAGGTAATGGGTGGTTCATATATGAGGAGCCATTGTTCAGTCTAGGGCGTGAATTTTTGAACAGCTTCATCCACACTTGGCCACGGGCAGCTTGAGGGTGAGCTCGCCTGATCGGTGAGGCTGACTACTGAACCCCCATTTTTTTCCCCTCCTGACGCTGCGTGACCATAGCCGGTCGGCCGACTTCATCTGACATCGTCTGAGTGCACCAGTTTTCTGGCTCTGCAAGCGACGTTGCTGCTTCCGAGCGAGACAAGGTGAATTTGAGAGCTTCCCGTGCGAGGGGCGGTGGGCGAGGGGCGGAAATCCGTTATTGGGCGAAGAAAAGGGGCTGACCCGCATATAGTCTCCTCGATTCTTGAGAATTTGCCCCCTCTTCGAGATTGCACAGGAAGTTCCGAGCTCGAAACTTCTTCTCTTTTGGCCATTGAGTCGTCGATCTCCAAAGTTCAACACGTATTTCGCTGTCTCAGCATCATCAGCACCCTCGCCAAGCCACTCCCCAACCGGCTGATGTCACATGAGGCCCGAAGTGTCCTGCGTGACGCCCCGAATTAGCGTCGCACTTATATCAAAGCATGTACAGCTGCGCGGCGCGCCCGCGTGAGCATCAGTGCCCAAGCTTGTGTCATGTGACGCTCAATCTCTAGCGTCAGCCTAGGGGGGTGTCAGGCTAGACCTCCTCGGACCTTCCTGCCCGTACACTTGACAAGAAGAATGCAACGCGTAGCCCGCAAAGTCAGTCGCAAGCCTCTCTCAGTCTTCCTTCGACTTGTTCAGGCAGTGCTCCTTTCGCAGCTGTAGCTGCTGCCTTCGCCGAGGCCAAGATCACTACTGTACGTCAGATCTAGCCAAGCCTCTACAATCTCCACAGGACTGAATGCCAAGGTCAAAGAGGCAGAGGACCGGGAGAAACTTCTGTATGCCAGCATAGCAGAGCTTGTACGCCCTATCAGACAGGGGACCATATCCGTCTGGACGGAGTCCTAGCTGAAATCGCTCATCGGTCCCTCTCCTTGGTCGACAGCACTGCAGGACAAGGGCAGTGGGTCCGCAACACGAGCATACGCAACTAAGGAACTCAAGTTCGCCGACGCTAGGATTCACCCGCAAGCTGCACGTTGTCCAGAGAGAATCCCAGACACTGCTGGGCGCAAGGCGCCGCCGACGAAGCTGGAGCGTTGCAACTCTTATGGGCTGTCGCTGAGGAAGATGCCTGGCCCTGACCATAGAACAAGAAGGTCATCGATCTTCCTCCGAATGGGCTCGCATCATCAAACTTCACAAATTGTCTGCACACGCGAAGGGTCCCCTTAGGAGAGCCCCCTTCCATGGCCAGAGGATAGGCAAGCAAGCACACTGTACCTAGCGAGAATTGCTTTGCACATTGATCAACGAGCGATCGAGCTCTCCAAGGGCAATGAGCAGATAGTGCGCAATGGCTTCCGCATAGCAGAAGCAAGAAAGCTCGATCGCATCGTTGAAGCGCAAGGGAGAAAACCCGCCTGATCCACTCCGCGGCGCTCGTCGCCTCAGCTATGGCTCAATACGAACATCTCCTGCTGGCATCCTGCCATGCTTCACTCCAACTGCTGTCCTCTGATCCATCGACGATTGCAACGTCTCAAGCCCGCTGCAAATCAATCTGGATGCAAGACGCGTTCGCTTCCTCTACGCCAGTCGAAATGCTCGCAGAAAAGGTTTGCGTGAGAGCAAAGCGAAGTCAACCTTCAGTCCGGTCACGAAGTTCGCGAGCATGGGCCTATTGCTCCGGAGCGTACCTGAGATCGCGCGGGGAAGGCATAGGCAGGAGAGGTCCTCTCGTATCTTCTGTATCTCATTTCGCCCCCCACATCACCTCACATCAGATCCTCGGCACCATGCACTCCCCTCCTCCACCCCGTCGACAAGACACCACGGTATCATGTCCAACCTACAAATTCACGCCCGCTCCGGAAGTCGAAGTAGGCGAGCCACTCTATCCGCCTCTGCCCACGCAAGACCAACCACTCTATCCACCTCTTCCCACGCCAGACCAGCCACTCTATCCGTCTCTTCCCACGCAAGACCAGCCGTGCTCAACCGTACACCCCAATCTTCGTCTCAATATGGATCTCTCTCGACGAAAGCCTGTCCCGCCGGTGTACAGCCGACCTGACACGACTGTCACCTCTCGCTATGAACGCATCACACCCGAGTCTATGACCCCTCCTCCATGGATGGTCTTCGAGACTTACTCTGACGCTATCGAGCCAGAGCACCATGTCGCGATCGAGGGAAGCTCCCCACTCGAGCGCTTTCCGTCGGTTGTTTACTACCCTTTTCAAGCTCGAGGACTGCCCATTCCAGCTTCAATGGCCGACATCGAAGCCCATACTCGAGACCACGATCATATTCACGACGAATATCAGGATGAAGATAGTATCTCGGCCGATGACGGTATCGATCTCGGCTTGAAATTCGACTCCAAGCTCTTCGACTCTCTTCAGGACACACTCCGTTTGCCCCTCTCGAGTGCTCGCGCTAGCAGCGCTAGTCCCCCTCCGCGACCCATCATCCTGCTCAACAAGAGTGTGGAAGCCGAGCTCAAGAATGCTGTCAGGGCTATTCTAGCTCCTGAGAAGCGAGAAGAGCAGCGCTAGCAGGCGGTAGCACCAGCGACTGCACCCCACCATTTGACAGAGGT